TATTTTTATGTACGTTTCTTTACAAAGCTATATTTAATTATAATTTTATTTAAAAGTATATTCATACAATTGAAGAATATTTTGTACCAGGTATGTATCGGTACATCCACCACACATTTTATTTCACCAAGTAAGTTTTTATTATTTTATTTTTAATTGTAGCCCTTATATCGTGGCTAGCGATTCGGAATGTAATTGTGATATTAAAAATGCATTTAGAGAAGTCTACGGTTTTTACTGGCTTATCGAATAAACGATACGAATAGACCCTAAACTATCACTGAGGCGCATTGACTGATTGCCCCTGGATGTCGGCTTCTTACAGAAACACAGCTCCCTATCGTCAAATGTCACGGCACGCTACTGGTGATCACACCCACATGAGTAATTCCTCATTTGAGTGTCATCACATAAAATAAGAAGTCTTGAAATTTCTTTCAATAACTGGCATGGGCGTAGCCAGAGTTTTGTTATGGAAGCCTAGTAGAGGGCAACCTGATACAAAATTGAATTATTTCAAATTTTATTATTTCATTCATTAAAATGAAATTTCCATAATAATCGACAATAACTAAACACACATAAAAAATGAAACTTCCTTTAATCATACGTTCTCGTAACATTAATATCAAACTCTAGCAATGCCTTAAACAAAAATTAACCAATCAATTATTATCATTTTTTTTTAACCATTCTTTAATATAGTCCACGTCTTTAATCTAGATCTAGACCAGGAGTGGCCAACAGCTTTTTCCTCCGAGCCGAATTGGAAAGAAAACTTTTTTCACTGCCCAAACCAGAGGCAGCCCTAGCAAGATTTTCAGGTGATGCGAGATCTTATTATTGGCGTCACTTCGTAGACACTAAACTGTACATAGAGATTACAGATACACTTTTCACATTGGGCACAGAAAACCGTTGACCTTTCTTTTAGATCAGAAGTTCTCAACTTTCCTATAACTTCACATTGTCAGGTTGTAGAGAATTGTCGCGGATCTATTCAAGCAATTATTTGAAGTTCAGTCCAATATTCAGAGATTAATTGCGGGCCGCAGTACACTACACCCAATTAAATTAGCTTCAACTTTTTATTTCTTTTTGCAAATCGGCTCAACACTTTTTCGGCTGTAATTTTCTGGGGAGGGCACCAGGTTAAATGGAGGGGACGTGCCCACCCATGCCCCTTCCTGGCTACGCTCATGCTAACTAGGAAAATACTCCAAATTACATCACGCGCGGCAGACATTTCCTTTCATTTTGTTTTCATATCAAATCTATTATTATTATTATTATTATTATTATTATTGACTGAAAAAATGAAAAATGTGATTTTGATAAATGAATAATTTTATTTCGGATAATGTGATTTTTTCACTCGTAATTAATTTAACTTCTACCAGAATGGCAAATAGGAACCATTCACATATTATGCAACACCAAAGGAAAGGAGTGGATATGAGAACCTTTGTGATACATTGTGCCAAGAAGTGTGTTCGTGCCGAAAAGTTTCACTTTTGCAATGGACGAATATCTACACCCGTTTTCCAATTAAAATATTTCATCACTTCTTATTAATGAATCGTTTGTGTGAAATACGAAGCGTATCATAAGCTTCTGTTAGTACCTCGAATGGTGTCTTAAATGTATCTCGACAAATACAAATACAGTACAGTAGAGCGTCGTTTATCCGAAAGCTGGTTATCCAAAACGTCCGTTATC